TTCTCCATTTATCCCCATCTTTCTCACACCCGGCTTAAACCCATTGAGGCGTTACAAATCATCGACTGCAACTGATCGTTTACCATTTTGACATATCGATGCATGCACACGCGTACTATTTATATGGTACAAATATCCAACTGAACAAACTTGGCGCCCTTTCTCTTTTCGTAAGATATATACTCCCATATATGTGCGCCAGCGATTGTTCCCCTTGATTCTTCACTGGCACGCAACATCGATCAATGATAATACAGTTTGAGTTATGAATTGAATTTATTATTCGAATTTCAGCGGGTGGGCAGACTCCGAGATCGCTGTGAGGCGTGGCTGCTATTTTGTGGGGCGTATAGATTGATTGCCTAAATAATAATTGAATGAGAAGTTATTGGCAGTCTTTCGACGAAGAGAACAGCAAGATCCATTTCAGATAGGCTGTCTCCCGGGAATGGTGTCCATTTGCACAATTTCAATTATTCGAAAGGAGCTTTTATCAATTGTGTCAAAACCATATTCATAGTTGTAGATATTTAGCTGTTTGAAGAATGTATTGTCTTTTCATTTATTGGTTTTTAAACCTCTTTATTTGGCTTGTCTTATAATGTGTACTAGATGCGAGTTCGTGTGAACATTTTTAATTTAAATACGTTTAATCTGTAAATGATAAAGTATTGTCATTCATCTGTAGCCAATCTCCTCCAAAATTTAAATAAATGTTGAATCAACCTTGAAGGTTCCGAAACAACCTGACCAAACCCTTGAAAATGAACAGCTCCCCCCTAATTTCCACTGAGCACATACCCGCCCAATCCACTTTTCCCCACAAGTTACCTACAAAATCCAATCAAGCAATAAACAAATGGGAACCCATTAACCAAAAAAAGAGCAAAATAGCAAGAATAACAAATTGCAAGCTGTAGTTGGAGTAATTTTTTATGGGCGTGCGCATTTTTTCACTCTTTCGTGTATGTTACTTGGGTATGACTTGCATTTGTGTTTTTGCTGTGGAAGTGTGTGCTCTAGATCGAAGTCAGCGGTTCCAGGCCACAACCCAAAAAAATACAAAAAATCAAATAAAAACCGACACATGTTGGCCAAATGCAAATGCGCATTTTGTCGCATTCCAAACCCAGCTGGTCGAGTTGATCCGAACTGGTGGCTTTGCCGGTTTTCAGCCACAGACAAACTAGCGACAGTCATAGATATTCCTAATGCCATCCGAATTCGAAATGGGAATTTAAAATTATTTATTACTATGAGTCTTAATTACTCTTTCTAGGCTTTTTTGTAGATGATATAGGCAAAAAATAAATGATATATATATAATCCCTCATCAAATCCGACTTAGTCTTTAAAAGGGCGATACAAAACAATATAACCATTCGACTTATATTTATTCCTGTTTATATAAAAATATTTAACTTCAGAATTTTGTTGTATTTATTGTGTAGTAATGTACACAGCTCAAAAACTATAATGAAAAATTTTATATTTTAAATCATTATTAGTAATAGTTATTTTAAGTACAACTAAATTAAATTCTATAACTCGAAGATAATAATTTAAAAAAAAATCAAGAAAGAATTAAGAATTCTTAACTGGAAAATTTTCCGTACTTTAATCAAGTTTGATTTTTATTGTTTGGTAATACAATATACCCTTACTTTTTCTCTGTCAGCTATTATAAAAACCCACACACATTAGACTTCTCGCACAAATTGGTGCGGTTCGTATCTAAATCGAGTCTCAATTACACACGAGCAACAGTCCCCTTTACCGCCGATTTTCCACCCCCTTCCCCGGCGGTTGGGTTCTCATTAGCTGAGCGCGGGTTACGCAGAGCATTCGGCAGTGGAGCGTTGGCAACCGCCGACTATAAACCGAACCACACCCTCTGTGGTCCCCGCCCCCACTGACTTTTTCACTAGCCCCTCAGAACTCAACCGACTTTGCATTCGCATGATCATTAAATGCTTAACCAAATGAATTAAAGCGATATATCTGTGGTTCTGAATGGGGTGTGTGCCATCACTTTGTTGTTGATGCACACTTGAGAAAAATCGAATGATTATTCATTATTTAAGATTACTTTTTTCTTGAGACAAAAACTGATAAGCGCTTTAGGAATTTAATGGAGCCTTTACAGACACTTATATACGAGTTAAAAGAGAGAATTCTTAATAATGTGTTTTACTAGTGGTTTTAAATGGGTAATAAAAAAACAATGTTTAAATTTAAGTTTTTAATATCTTAATGGCGTAAGAACTTTTTCCCAGTGAGTGCATATTTTTCTGTGAGTACGGGCAACATGTGGTCGTCTGTTTGTCTCCGACTCTTAAGTCGGTCTTGCAGTTGAAGAAAGCATGGAAATTATTTCAGCGATGTGAAATGGGGGCACGAGTTCTGAGCTCTCGAAATGATTGCTCTCCCCTCAATGGGGTTAATTTTCGGGCTGGGGGTGGGTAGGATCATCCACTGAGTTTTTTGTAATTATCTCTGAACATGTGTGGGAATAAATAAATACAAAATACTTTTCAAATAACATTTCAACTTCACTTGAAAGTGGAAAAATTTGACTTGCAATCAACGCGAGAAAGCTATTGTCTTTTATTATTTACTATGCAGAATGTTTTCACAACGCTGCTTTAAAAAAGTAAAAAATATTATGCAGTACTGTAAACCAACTTGAAAAGAAAAAACAACCCGTTTGGCTAAGCAAATGTTAAATTTAAAGTTTTGTTGGGAATAATTGTTCGGAAATTAAATGTTTCTCAGCTTTAACTTTACTGTTTTATTTTTAATAAGTTTTCCTCCTGGAATTTGAAAAAAACATATGAAGTCTTACCAATTAAAATTCCGGGTTCCATGTTCGTAATAATCCTTGGTTCGCCTAATCCTCAAAGTGGCGAATTGGTTTGGTGTCGAACAAGTTAAAATCACAAGGCAAACATAAAACCTATGCTTTTCAAGGTCGTGTCGAATTGAAATATAAAATCTCGTTGAATCACATGGAGCACAATTCGGGTTATTTATTTCGATTTGATTGATCGGTTTCGTGGAATGGCAGCTGATGTCGCCACATTCCTTTTTTTGACAACTTTCGCACCTTTCTGTTTTGTTTATCGTTTCGTAATAATTCGCGTTAATCGCTAAGGTGTGCTACGAAATATTGTCCAATCAGACTTTTGTGTTAAATTTCCCACCAAAAAACAAATAACTTTTTCGCATGCGCATGCGCAAAGACGAAAATAAACAAAAGAAAGCGTGGAATAAAAAGAAAGACGGAAAGAGCGGGAGTCACGCAACTACCGTTAGGATTTTCCTCTGCTTTTAATGAGTTTTTTTGTTTGTTTGCCTGCCATTTGTAAGTTTAACAAGCTGCGTTGTTTACCTATTTGATTGTTTTATTTATTTTTTGCCTTTTCTTTATCAATTTCTTATGAGATATCACACAGGTGCGCGGTCCCTCTCTCTCTCTCGCACTGTCCCCCACTGGCTCTCTTTAAAAAACAAACACCGGTTAAAAGCGGAACGTTGGCAATGGCCGGAACAGGCGGCATAAAAAGCGAAAACCAGAAATGGAACGTGTGGCAAGTGGTACAGACAACAGTTTTGTTGTTGCAATCGTGGGTAATTTGTGAGTCAAAGAATCAAGAATGTGTGTATGTGTGTTTGTTCGGAAAAAAGAGTCAAAAGCACCTAAAAACTTATTAAAAACCAAGGAAAAATCTCAAACTTGGCATACTAAATGCAATTCCTTGGACTTGCTGTTAAAATTCTTAAGAATTTGTTGCTTTTTGCATTTTTGTTTAAACAACTTGTGGCACACTAACACACACACGCGTACACCTTGAACTTGCGTCAGCTTTTTATAAGATTTTCTTTATTTTCTGCTCATTTTGGCCACTTTCTTTGCACTTTGCCTCTTTTTTGGCTATACAACTTTAAGATAACGCACTTTTTGCTGCTAATTAATGGCTTTTTCTTTTCTGCTTCTTTAGTTACTTCTTTTAAGCCGAGAATTAAAACCACGGCGGTAGAAAAAATCGAAAACTACATATCGTTTTTCCGACGCGCTTTAAGTCTTTGCACTCCGAAGTCCAAAAGCGATCTGAAACGATCGAAAAAATATATGGAGATTCAGGTCTCTCTATTTCTTTTTCCTCGCTCTCTTCGATGATCTTATTGGAACGGGTTGCAGCCCAACTGGGAGAGATACAGAGGGAGAGCGCTAAGCGCGCCTTTAACACGTTTCATTTTCAACCGTAGCGCTCAGAAAGACAGAGAAAGAGAGAGAGAGAGGAAGATGGGCCTATTGGAATTCAATTGAAATCGAATCGGAATTAATTCAAGGGCTGCTCACAGTGGGTCAAAGTAACCGATTAAAAATTCACTTAATTTCTAAAGTAAAATGCAAATGCAAACAATGTTTCATTTTATCAGACATTTTTAAAAATGTACTGATACGCCATGTATGGAATTTACTGATATGGAAAGTATTTTTAGAAACAAATATGTATGTTATTATTTGCCCATCAAAACTTCATGCAAACTTTTGGTTCTGGGGGACATAAGTTAAAAAAAAATGTTAATATAGGAATCACACGAGCTCTTTTTTATATTTTACAAGTTTTTGGCAATTAAGCGTAGTTTGCAGCAAGAATTGTTTATTTCTTTGACGAGGCTATAAGACAATCAATTTTTTTGCATTAAATGTTAGCTTAACTCAGCAAAGTGATATGAACATGCGTTTTCCTAAAAAAAATGTTTTTATTTTGCGGGAGTGGTAACTTGAAAGGTTTTTAATGAATTAAAATGAATCTTAAAACTTATTGTACAATTTAGGTACCTAATATAGCAACCAACGAGTTGAATTTAAAATTTAATTTAAATAATTTGTCTTTTCATGTCAACATCTAAAGCACTAGCTATGTATATATTTTAACTTTTGAATGAAAACAAAGCAGGCGCAGACAGAACCTTCTCTGAGAAGTTGCATGTCAATCCCTGTCATCCGGCAAACATTTTCGACTAGAGCTCTATTTAAAATCAAGGCCCAAAAATAACATTTTTCGGCACAAAAAAAAGGAAACAGCCGCCCAAATCCTGAGACTGAGAAAATGTCCCTAAATCGCGGAGGTAAGATGTTCCTGCGGAGCATTCCTCCCCAGATTTTGCGGCGTGGCAAGGCGGATTACGGCAAAACGGTGTGCAACCTGAAGGTCAACAAGGAGACCAAGGTGTTAGTGCAGGGATTCACCGGAAAACAGGCCACTTTCCACTCCGAGGAGTCTATGAAGTACGGGACCAACATCGTAGGCGGTGTGAATCCCAAAAAGGGCGGTACGGAGCATTTGAAGAAGCCCGTTTTCAAATCCGTAGCCGAAGCTGTGGAAAAGGTAAAACCGGATGCCACGGTGATCTTTATACCGCCACCGTCCGCCGCGGAGGGAATTTGCTCCGCCATCGAGAGTGAGATTGGTTTGATTGTGGCCATCACCGAAGGTATTCCGCAGTCGGATATGGTCAGGATTTCGCAGATGTTGAGGTGCCAGGAGAAGTCTCGCCTGCTGGGACCCAACTGCCCAGGCATTATATCACCTGATCAGTGCAAGATAGGCATAATGCCGGGCGATATCCATAAAAGGGGAGTCGTGGGCATTGTGTCGCGGTCGGGAACTTTGACCTACGAGTCCGTGCAGCAGACCACACAAGTGGGCTTGGGCCAGGCTCTTTGTATTGGCCTTGGCGGAGATCCCTTCAACGGAACCAGCTTTATAGACGCCCTCAAGGTCTTTCTGCCCGACAAAGAGATCAAGGGCATCATTATGATCGGGGAGATCGGAGGAACCGCCGAGGAAGAGGCAGCCGAATACCTCAAGGAGCACAATACAGGATGCGAGGCCAAGCCCATCGTTGGCTTCATCGCCGGTCAGACCGCTCCGCCGGGTCGTCGAATGGGTCACGCCGGCGCCATCATTTCGGGCGGCAAGGGGGCGGCCAAGGACAAGGTCGCCGCCCTCGAGAAAGTGGGCGTTCGCATGACCGCCAATCCTTGTCACCTGGGAACCACGCTTCTCGAGGAGATGATCCGCCTGAAGCTAGTGCCCAAGCCGGAGCAGAAGGCCCAGGCTGGCAAGAAATAGGTTGTGAGGAAAAATATTTATTTCTCGAATAAAAGAACCAAGTGATCTTTTTAAAAATTCTATTTTCATATTTAATGGATTTTTGGTGAAGACGATAAACGAGTTCGTTTTTCTAAACATTGACAGCTATATATATGAAACTTTTTTTACGATTATAATCGTAGTAATTTTTTCAAGTCTAAAAACCCTTTAGATTATTTAGTTATACTATGTTTTTATACATCTTTTAGTTGAAAAAAATTAAAAATTCCTTCAATTAATTAATGCATTAGAGTGATAGCCGTACATTAAAATGGTTGGGGTTTTATATGATTTTATCGAATCGACGTCATTGTACCATAGTTGGTAAAATAAATAAGTATAGCTTTGTATCCAAGTATATGAACCACTGTTGAAGGGAGTGGCCTTTCAAATTGCGATTTTAATTGTTGCACACAATGTTAAAAAGCAATTAATAAAAAAACAAGAAAGGAAAGCTAACTTCGGGCGGAGCCGAAGTTGATATACCCTTGCAGAATACTCTGTAAATTATATTCTCCAAAATTATTCATATGATGCATTCTTAATACTCATAAAAAATCCCAACTTCCTAACTTTAAAAACACCAAAGTTATGGCATTTCCAATCGTTCAGTTATATGGCAGCTATAGGATATAGTCGGCCGATCCTTATGAAATTTGGTAGGTCGGATTGGTTGGCCAAATATAAAACCCATAGAAAATCCCAACTTCCTAACTTTACAAACACGAAAGTTATGGCATTTCCGATCAATCAGTTATATGGCAGCTATAGGACTTATATACTGCGTGCAAAGGAAAGAAGGGTGTGTGCAAAGTTTCAATTCGATAGCTTTAAAACTGAGAGACTAGTTTGCGTAGAAACAGACAGACGGACAGACGGACAGACAGACGAACAGACAGACGGACAGACAGACGGACAGACAGACGGACAGACGGACAGACGGACATGGCTATATCAACTCAGGAGGTGATCCTGATCAAGAATATATATACTTTATAGGGTCGGATGTCTCCTTCACTGCGTTGCACACTTTTGACCAAAATTATAATACCCTCTGCAAGGGTATAAATATCAAGGTCAGTTGGGAATTTCGATTTAGTAATTAAGTATTTATTATTTTATAACAATGATTTTCTATAATTTTACCCCTACCTAAATTTCCACCCATGCCTATTTCATTTTTGTATGCCAAAGTATTGTCCGCAGTGGCGTTTTATCATTAGTCTGATATCAACAAAAATGTTACTTTTTAAAGCCTATAACAAACATAAGATAAGCGATAAATAATTTGGCCACGGCCAAGACAAAAACCAGACTTACCCATTGTTTTCACGCGGAATTCTTCGTAGTCCATGAGCGGAGGAGTTTCAGCTCCTCGGACGGTGTCCAGAAAATCCTCTTCGCTATAAACGGAATCGTAATCGCTGGGATCATGCATTTTGATTTTTAATTTGATTTAATCACTGAAGTACACTCAAAACTGTTGCATACTCTTGGGCAGCAAGGAGTATTCACTTGTTTTTTAATTTCTTGAAAATCTATTTCAAGGAACTGTAGGCTAGAGGTCGGAGGAAATGCAATTAGAATTGCCAACCCCGGAAACACTTGATGGGGATTTTACGGCACCCAGAGCCACCGATAATGGAGGATTGAGAACCGAGAGACCGACAACCGCATGCGCTTCCAATTTAAACACGACTAAGGTGAGCCGAGGGTTTTTGCCGCCGTTCTGCGTTCTCAGCTAATCAAGAGCAAATACTACGAAGGCTATCAAAAATAACAAACAAATCTACACGCTGATTAGAATATCAAGTAGTATAACAAGTAAGAACTCTTTGATGGAGACAGTAGACTACAGGATACCCCGCACTTCTATTTTTTAGCTTTGGGAACACAAGAAAATTAAACACTGATCTATAAATAAAAAGATAGGAATTACTTAAAAAAAAGTTATCCTTTTTTCTAAGCTATCTAATTAAATTGTGATTTATTTATGTCAAATTTCTTTACAAGGACAAAGCTAATTTCCATATATGCAAAGATACTAGAATTAAGAGTTGTAGCATCTAACAGGAGTATTGAAAACTAGTTTTCAAACAAATTATTCTAAAGTAACGACTGACATCAACTTTTTCTTTCTATTTTATAAACAGACGATCCAGCATCTGACGTCAAAATAAGTTCGAGCTATAGAGACTTGATTTTATTTATTATTTGTACTGCCAATAAAACTAGTTGGTTTTATATTGATTTCGAGTTAGGGAAGTTCGAGCTATGGAAGTTCGACCGTTTATATAAATGATATAGGAATAGAGGAATTAAATAAAAAACAAAATTACTCCTTATGCCTGTTATACCCATGTTTTCTCCAAGAACACCGGGTATAAAAACATACGCTTTTATTTGCACTGAGAGCGCGTGCTATCTTCGCTCTCACTCTCCCTCAGCGAAAGTAATTAGGGAGAAGTTCTTGATGGGTGCGAGTGCAAGCGAGACGCAAGCATATATCTTATCGCCCGTTTAGAATTTGGACTGAGATAGCTTACGACTGTCGTCCGCCTGGAATTCCTTCAATTAATTAATGCATTAGAGTGATAGCCGTACATTAAAATTGTTGGGGTTAGAGTTGTAAAAGAAAATTGAAGAAAAGAACTTAGAAAAGTTCCATTCCTTAAAATAGTATGATAACGTTATTAATAAACTGAACGATAACAATCATTATGAGCAAGTAATCAGTAATTGGTAATAAACTAAATTGTTGATTACGGAATGGAAAATATTTACATCCCAACCGTGTTTTTTCATAAACAGTTTCCCGTTAAATAAAACAACAATCATATTTTGTTTTTAAAACAGCACACCAAAGAAATAGCATCATTGGAATGTTAAAAATTTTATTTAAATTTCTTTTCGCCTCTTTCTGTATGGTTTTTCTGCAATTCTAATTATAATGCATTTACACATAGACTCGTATTGGTTGTAGTGTGGTTTTCTTCATAAAACTCGAATTCGTTCATCTGCATTTAATTCAAACTTTTAATGTTGTTTTGGAATTGCATATAGTTTTTTTTTGTTTGATTTTTGAAGAGCAATTTGTCTCTTGTTGCTGGAGTATTTTGTTCGCTACGATTTTTTCGGTAACTGATATGTTTCGTTTACTCGTTTTATTTAAATATATTTCAACTATTTCTTGTGTATTTTTTTACTGGTGGTTTTGTTAGTTCGTAATTTGTCTAGCAACTTAAATTAAAATTTTAAATTAATTTCAAATTAAATTAAATTTTAAATTAAATTTTACAAAGCTTGATTAATATTTGTTTTCTACAAAAATGTGTTGTTCAGTATTGTGAAATTGTTTCAGCGTTTTAAGATTTCAATGGGTCAGTTTTGGTGTTAAAACCCTGAAACAAGTGACAATTTATTTAAATGGAATTCAAAAACGAATAACACAATTAAATTTAAAAGAAAACCAATGAAGTATTATTTAAAAAATTACCCTTGGTGTGTTTTGTCATAAATACATTTATATATAATTTTCTTAAAGTTATTTAATTTCAACTTTCTTTTCGTCTTCATATTTGATATGTTTTTGTTAATTGATATGTTGCATATATTTTGTATTCCATAGATTCTTGTGTGTTTGTAACTTTTGCAGTTTTGTTTCTTCTTAGGCAAGAGATCTGCTGATATGTATGCGATATAAGTTCTGTGGCTTATAATTAAAAGATGTCTATGTTTTGTATATAGCATTTGTATATTAAAGTTTAAAAAAATATCCACAAGGAAAAAAACGCCATTTTTTTGGATTTTTAAACTTTTTGTAGATATTTAAAGTATTTATAATGTACAGGCGAATATGTTTTGATGGAACGAAAAAACAAATTATCACTTTGTTGTTTTTATTTTTCGTGTTTGGTTTATCCATTTCATTTGCATCGATTATGGAATTCGTAGTTTGTCTCCTTTATTTACATGGGGCATTTCCTCACATCCTTTCTTTATCAAATACATATATATATATATATATAGTTCAATGGATCAGTTTCTGTTCATTCATTTAATATTACTCTTGACTTGTTTAATTTTTTTCGAATAAATATTTATTCATAAATATATTTTAAATAGACGACTATATAATAAAAATGTTTTTTCTTTCTTTTTATTCAAATAAATAATTATAGTTTACTTCTGCTGTAGTTGTTGTATGATCTATCAGCTAATTCAAGGTACTTATAACTCCATTAAATTTTCGGTTTAATCTAAAGAAATTTCATTTAACGTTGTGTTCTTAATTTCTCCTCCAATTTCTATTCGTTTTAGTTACTTGTCACACTATCTGGTCAACAATTCCGTGCTCCGTTTAAAGAATGTTTGAATTAGAGAATTCTTAGACTAGTAAGTAGGTGTTTTTTTGTTTTGAGGGCCAATTTCTTATGTTGCTTAGTTAATATTCCAAATTGTTTGGGTCAGTTTTTGTTCTTTGGCAACTAAAACTGGTCCTCAAAACGTGAGAATCTCATTTTGGTTACAATTTGCTTTTGTGTGTTTTTTTCGTCTAAGAAATATATATTTTGAAAATTGAGTAAAGTTGTGTGTATTATTTTGAAATTAAGGTTAGGCTTTATAAATATTTGTTTTGAATATGTAACTTGAGATCTCTCATTGATATTTTTTTAGACACTCAAAACCTTCCGTGAATTATGCAACTCAAGACCAATTCTTTTACTGCTGCACAGTAGCTCGACATACATATTGTAGATACTTTAACGTGTGTCTAGTTTATTAATTATTTTCTTTGTTGTATTGAAACATTAAAGTTTTTCTTCTACTAGAAACAACAATAGCTGCAGGGCTTTCGCTACATTTACTGACTAGAACTAAACAAATATTCCATATTTTTATAGTATATAATTAATAGACGGTTATCGAAAGAAGATAAGTGTACTGGGTAAGTACGTAAGAAAATGGTTGGAAGGTTCTTTACTGATAGCCTCGGTTTCCGATTTGCATACATTGTTTCTGTAGGGACTTTAGTT